ACTCTGACTTCCCAGGGCTGATCCCTCCTTCATTAGATAAAGGAAGACAGGGGCCTGCATTGTGGTGCAGCAGGTTAAGCTGCCGCCTGTGACAGGCATTCCAGGGGCGCTGGTTCAAGTCCCGACTGCTCCACTTCTGATCCAGCTCTCTGCCAATGTGCCTGGGAAAGTAGCAGAAGATCCTTGGGCTCATGTCACCCAGTAATTTGAGGAGTGAACCTAGATGGAAGGTCTCGGTGTCTCTCTCTCTCTTCTCCTTCTCCCTCTCTCCCCTCTCCCTCTTTCCCTATAACTCTCCCTTTCCAGTAGGGATCCAGCCAGGCTTTGCTTCACAGGAAAGAGAGGAGGGGAGAGAAGAGATGGATAGAAAAAGAAGAGGAAGGGAGGTGAAGACAGGTTTTTTTGAACAAAAGGCTCTTTTCCAAACTTGGCTTTTTCCAAAGTACTTTCAGACTCATGGCTTGGGGGACTAAGCCTCCCACCGGTCTTGTTTAGCCAGGAGCACGGTTACCTGAGGCAGGGACCCCAGGTCACCTGGAGCTCAAGGCCTCTTTCTGAACACAGGCCTGTCACTGCAGCCCGAGGAACATCGCAGCACCAACAGGCCAGGCAGCCAGAGGCACATCCTGCCCTGGGTTCCGGTTCATGCTGCCTGTTAGGATCTTGCCCAGACGCTCATTCCTAACTTGGAGCCTCGCTCCTCTTCACGGCTCCATCTCTCCTGGCCACTCGTGCCCCAAGAGCGTGGCTCCATTTACTGTGCATTCACACTGGCCTACGAGGAGGGTCATTCCAAACAGCCCAACAAGTCTTGCTCCCCAAGATTCGCTTGGGTGCCTCTTGGAGCCGCTTCTGCTTCCTGAGATGTCAGCTCTGGCCAGGGAGCACTAGGGAGCTTGTGACACAGAAAGAGCATCTTTGATCTTGGATTCCAGCTCGGAACTCTGCAGAAATTAACCTGACAGTCAAACTAGGCAGTGCCTCATCGGGGAACAAGCGGCATGTGTAGCTTTTTCAACATACAGATGTCAACATCCCTGCAAACTGAAAACTACGTGTAGACTCTAGATGTGTGTGCATACTTACTACACCAGATCATCTGTCATTACCAGAGAGCCAAAATCCTTCTTCCCTATACCCGAGAAGAGTAGGGGGAAACAGCCATGGTGTCCAAATCACAGAAGCCCGCACCTTCTGTTGAGATTAAACAAGGACGTTAAGAGACATCCACTTGTTAAAGAGAAAACACTTGGGGTGGGCACCTGGGGTGGTGGCGAAGACACTGGGTGGGACAGCCCCACCACATACTGGAGCGCTCTGGCTCCTGACTCCAGCTGCTGTTCACGTACACTATGGGAGGCAGAAGACCTGAAGGGAGTTCCTCAGCCGGGCCCTGGCCCAGCTGTTGTGAGCATCTGGGGAGTGAACCAGAGGACAAGAACTCTCAATGTCTGTGTGTGTGTGTGTGTGTGTGTGTGTGTGTTTCAAATAAATAAATAAGAAAACTCTTTAAAGTAGTCCAGTGGTGCCTTTCTTATAGGCATCAGTACCTGTCACCATCAGGGAAGAAAAGTCACACGATTTTATTGGAAAGCACCAAACCCAAATCAGTGGCCAACCCACACGGCACCTTCCACAGGAAGTGAAGCAATCGGGCGAAGGCGCCTTGCAGAAGCTCACCTGGGCTCTCGCTGAACGCGGAACGGGGCCCAGGAACACGTGCTCTCCTCTGCGCCTGGGCTGCTGGAGTAGACTGTACCCAGGCCAGCAGCCAAGGTGCCCTCAGGCCACGTGCAGGAGTGGTGGTTCCATAATGAAACGTTTGTCTTTGCCCTTGGTTCCTCTAAGTCCTTGGAATTCCCCCAGGGGCAGGAAAGTCTCTGTTATTCCTTGGGTCCCACCTAAGTTTGCACTAAGGAGGTGGCAGGATGTTGAGCTCAATCTTGCAGCCACTGTGTCAATGGGTCCTGCCCATGCAATAAACCCAGTGAAAACTCTGCACACAGAAGTTCAGTGAACGCACGGCTGTGCCAGGAAGGTGATGCACTCTGCGTCCATGAAGAAGGACACGGAGCCTCCAACCTCAAGAGCTGCCCACACTTCACCCTACCTGTCTCTTCACCAGGCTGGTACTGAGCTGCATTCTTTGTAACAAACTCCAATCATGAGCATAGCACTGCCCTGAGCTGACTCATTCTAGCAAGTTATCAACGCCTGGGGCTGTGGGAGCCTTTGAATGTATCGTCAGTTGGTGGGAAGCACAGGGGATGATGGCCCAGGCTGCAGCTTCTGTCGGAGACGAGGAGGGGGTCTGTGACCTCCAGTGTGTGAAGGTCGACACTGAGCCCCCAGCCAGTGGGCTCCTTCTGACTCCAGGTGCTCATGGCAGCCCCAGAGGGTCCACGCCCCTCCTGTCTTAGGCCCAGGGAACAGTCTGCATTTTCTAGAACTTTTTGTCTCCAACCCTGAGGACAATTCAATTCCCTGTGAAATCAGGGCATTGGAGACCCAACTCATGCACACACGACAGCCCAAGGAGCAAGTGTAACCCATGCCCACAGCACCATGGAAGTACACAGAATGGCCACCACTTAGCAGCCGTGAGACCACGGGAAAATCACCAACTGCCTCTGAGCCCCAGTTTCCACCTCTGTAAGATACAGTTAAGGACCCTTCCCTCACAGATGATGGGACAGCTCAGGGATGTCACATGCTCGCAGAGCCTAGCATGGCCTCTTACACGAGGAAGCCACTTAAACATCAGCCTGGAGCCAGCACTGTGGCGTAGCACAAAAGCCACCGCCTGCAGGGCCAGCATCCCATATGGGCATCAGTTCATGTTCCGGCTGCCCCACTTGCGACCCAGCTCTGCACTAATGGCCTGGGAAAAGCAGCAAAAGATGGCCCAGGTGTTTGGGCCCCTGCCACCCATGTGGGAGACCTGGATAAAGCTCCTGGCTTCTGGCTTTGGGCTGGCTCAGCCCTGGCTGTTGCGGCCACCTGGGGAGTGAACCAGCAGATGGAAGATCTATCTTTCTCTTTCTTTCTGCTTTTACCTCTCTCTCTGTCGCTCCTTCAAATAAATAAACCTTTAAAAAAACATCAGCCTATTCCCACCCCACCCCATTTACTTTCTTTTCTTTTTTTTTTTTTTAAAGATTTATTTTTACTTATTTGAAAGTCATAGTGACTCAGACAGAGGGAGAGATAGAGACAGAGGGGTCTCCCAAGCACTGGTTCACTCCCCAGATGGCCTCACTGGCCAGGTTTGGGCCGGGCCAAAGCCAGAAGCCAGGGACTGCATCTGGGTCTCCCACGTTGGTGGCAGGGTTCCAAGTAGTTGGCCCGTCTTCTACTGCTTTTTCCAGGCACGTTAACGTGGAATTGTACTGGAAGCACAGCAGGCTGCTGGCGCCACAAGGCCAGCCCTTCCTCTCCCATTCCCAAATTACCCTGTGCCCCCAGCTCCCCTCACCTCTCTGCTCTCCCTGGAAAACCATCTGGGTGCCAAGGTTTCGAATCTCAGGGCAGAGGAAGCCAACCATTCTGTCAAACACGCAAAGCAAGTAACCGTTAGGCTGAACTGAAAGGAGATTTGTATTTACTTCAGAGGCGATAAAGGATTCCATAAAATAGCACGTGCAGCCTGCATCCCTGCAATTCATAAAAAATCTTGCAAATTATTTTCTCAGGCCTCTGGATGCATCCCACTGGTCATTAAGAACAATTAATTCTTTCAAGAAATAAAAGAATTGCAGGGGCTGGTGCTGTGCATAGCGGGTAAAGCCACTGCCTACAGTGCCGGCATCCAATATGTACGCCAGTTCTAGTCCCAGCTGCTCCTCTTCCAATTCAGCTCTCTGCCATGGCCTGGGAAAGCGGTAGAAGATGGCCCAAGTCCTTGGGCACCTGCACCTACACCAAGAAGAAGCCCCTGGCTCTTGGCTTCAGATCAGCGCAGCTCCAGCTGTTGCAGCCAATTAGGGAGTGAACCAGTAGATGGAAGACCTCTCTCTCTCTCTCTGCCTCTCCTTCTCTCTAACTCTGACTTTCAAATAAATAAAATAAATATTTAGAAAAAAAACGAATTGCAAATCCTCTCTGGTCACTAGAAAATCTACTTGTTTTCAGACTAAAGAGGACAGAAAATGAGGCTCAAATGCAGAGCTTTCCTGGCCCTGTAAATGGAGTGAAATAAGATCAAAGAGACTCAAATGCTGTTCCCAGGGAGCGCAGGTGCTCTGGGAGCAAGGACACGCCAGATCCGGGGTCGGGCGCCCTGGAGGCCTGGAGGTGACACAGACACAGCAGTCAGGGCAGGAGTCTGGAGCTGTCCCAGACGAAGGAGCTGCTCAAGCTGGGGTATGGGCAGGAACACAGTGCTCAACCAGGTGACACTCGATGGCAGAATGGGAACCGAACCCCAGGGACCCAGGTTCCAGCAACAGGACCAAAGTCTCCAGCAAGACTGGAGACGACCAAGCAGAGCCCAGGCCTGAAACTGGGCCGTCACACGAGATCCGGAGGGACAAATCGGGAAACAATCAGAAGAACATGGCAGGTGCCCGGCCCGGCCACAGGAAATGAGGCGGGAAGCGGAGTCCTGGGTTTAGCTGAGCCTCCGCGTTCCTGGCTTTGGGCTTCATAACTCATTCAACCCAGGTCTCGGGAGATGAAAGACACTTCCAAGAAGCAGGAAGTGGCCCCACAGTGAAAGTGGCTTCTACAGTGAGAATCACAGGGTGAGAAGTCAGCTAGGACATCGCACAGGCTCTCAGCGCTCGGGTTCGCGCTCACATAGTGGCCAGTGCAGGTTCACTCTCAAGGTGGAATAAAAACCCCAAGAAAGCCCCCACTGTATTCTCCCAAGGCCTCCCTGGGGAACCCTGAGACAGCAGCTACCAAAAGGAACAGCAAACTTGGCCAGGGCCGCAGGCACTCTCTGGATGGGCACGTGGTTGGGTCAGGTAGGAGGCCTGTGAGTTACGCTGGACAAACACTGCCATTGGGAAGGGGATTTTATTGAAACACAGCTTGTAAAACATCAAGGGGGGAGGATCATCATGACAGCCATGGGCTCACGGATGCAACAGAGCCCACCCTCACATGCCAACGGTGTGGCACCTCTGCGGAGCGATATGGCAAGCAGAGGGAACCTGATCGGTAGCAAGTTCAGACGGGCTCACCTCCAAGAAAATCAAATTTCTGCAAGTCAAAGGTGTCCTCCGTGGTACAGGCTGTCCAGCCCCGTGGTAGAAAAGGTTGGGGGAGGCGAGGGGCACGTACCAGGATGGGAAGTAGGCTCCTCCACCTCCTCCTGGGACCAGGAGAGAAACGTCTCCCACTGACTGCTTGTGGGCCCTAAGACGAGGACTGCAGTGTGGGCAGAGGAATTCCAAGGTGGGTTGGACACTCCACTGACCCTGGGACTGCAGATACCGTGTAGCACACAGAGGACAACTAGGTGAGGACAGGACTAAAGACTGGGAAGTGAAGAGAGACCACAGAGAGGTCAGGGAGAGCTGGGTCACTCAGTGCAGGGCAGGAAACAGCCAGCCAAGCAGGGCGAAGACCCAGTGGGCCAGCCGGAAGCCCTTCACGTGCAGGATGAGTTCATGAAGGCTGATCTGCCATAAGGTGAAGGCCTCGCTGCAGGAGATCTGGGTCCGTCTGAAGAACGAGCAGGTGTTCCTCCTCTCGTGCCTGGAGAAGGGAGAAGGAAGGACAGGAGGAGCTAAGAGACACTAGGGAGAAACAGAAGATGGCGGCTGCGGCCAACTAGCCAGCTCTTGGCTACAGGATCACAGCACTGCCAACCAGGGACCAGAGAACTCAAATATTCCACAGGAATTTTTCAAATAAGTGAAAGCAGTTGCTTCACAGGGCATCAGAGGTCTGAGAGACCTATCAGATGGAATATTCCCATGTTCCTTTCCCCAAACTCAAACCTAATCAATGCGTTTCCAGACTTTCTGAGGGCAAGCTGGTGAGGTGGGCCTGGAAGGCTCATGTCATTAGCCTCAGTCCAGCTTAATTCCTTCTGCACCAAGAAAAGGACACGATGAAAATGGGTGTGTATGGGGATGACCCACTCAGGACTTCCCCGCTGATCCTCACAGGAAGAACACGTCACGCACAGCCCTCTCGGTGTGCAGCGTATTCTGCTGCGTCTGATCGGTTATGTGACAGCAGGTGCACGAGAGATGTGGGCAAATCTCCCTGCCCCAGGTGTTTCGCAGAGTGACCCATTCCTTGCCCAGGGTGGATGGGCTGGGAATTGACCACGGTCTAGACCAAGGTCATCCTCAGGTGAGAACACCAAGCCAGAGCATGGCTGTGCCAATGAACGCACCACACTCAGAGGGCCTAGAATCTTCACTCTAGCTCCCTTGAGGAAGCACCCTCCTCCGCCTCACCTGCACCCCAAGGGTGGTGAGGTATCTAGAGACAGCTGAGATTCCAAGTGGATCTGCCAGTCACACTTCCCTAAATCATAGTCTCTCCTACAGGGAAAACACTGACCTACCCGCCTAGCCAGGCCTAGGGAGCCAAGTTCCAGAGTGGGACGGAGACGGCTTCCTGACCCAGGCCCAGGGGACATTTGGATGGGACGGAAGCTCTCAGCAAGCTTCCCAGGCTTGAAGTTCCTGGGGGTAAGAATCACCTGGGAAGCTGGACCGGGTGGCAGAAGCCCTAGAATCCACCACTTAACCCAGACAGGAGAGTCTCCGGACCACCCAAAAACACTGCTCCGAGGCGCCAGCCGGTCTTCTGGGACTCCCTTTCCCTACAGAGAGGATCAGGCAGGGCCCTGGAGACTGCAGTGCTGTCCCCTGGGGGAGTGGAGGCCGGGAGTCACACTCACCAGGCCAGCGCCCGGACACAGCACCGCGACATGCTGAGGAAGGAGCTGGCGCTGGCGCGGGTGCCCAGCGCAGCCTCGATGCCACGCAGCAGGTCGTTGGTCTTGAAGATGAGCAGCATCTGGCGCGGCACGCGGTTGAGGAGCTGGCTGATCTGCGGCAGGTTGTTGGCCGCATTGCTGCGGATCTCTGAGTCCTGAGGAAGCAGCGGGGACACAGATAAGGGAGGCTGGTGTGGACGTGCGGGTGGGGATGGCAGGGCTCTGGGCAGCCTGTGACCAGAGGGGCCGCAAGGACGCTCCAGGCAGGGGGACGTCAAACACAGTGGCTGGACAAGCCCGATGCGAGGCCTCTGGCCCCCTTCTGGGTCAGCACTGGATCCAGTGCATAAGGACATCTATGGGGCCAGCTACTCTCCAAGGCTTCTCCACAGCCCCCAGTCTCAGGTCAGGCTTACCAGGAACCAGCTGAGTCATGTCCCCTCCCCTCAAGCCATGCCCAGGCCGATACAGCCCACAGATCCAAGCTCCTGACCTCGATGAGGAAGCCCTGGCCTACCCTTGCCTGCATCCCCCTAGGCTGACCCCACCTGCACACCGCCATTGCTCATCACTCTGCTGCGCTGGAGCCAGTCTCATCGTGCCCACCGCCCAAGGTGCTGACACCACCAGAAAGGGACGCAGGGTGGGCCCGGAAGCCTGTTATCCCCAAAGCTTTTGCCCTGGTTGGTGTTTAAATTTGGGGTCCCCACCCCCTTCCCTGTCCCTGGGGTCTGCACACCTCTGGGCAGCTGTTCTCCACCCTCACTTTCCCTATGGGGAAAGCACTGGAGCGCTGTCCCTGTGGTTCAGCAGAGGCCGGCGGGGAGCTGGGAGGGGCGTGGAGGCCCCACGCCAGAATCCTGGGTGTGATAACATGAAGGATGTGAAAACTGTCAGAATCAAAATGGTGCCACTTGTGCCCACTCTCACCAAAAACCAAGCAAAGCTGGGAGGTGTGGAGTGCGGAATTCGTAGGCATGGTTGCCTGATGGGAGTGTGACAGAGCCTTTGCCAGAACCACCAGCTGGCTCCGAGTCCGGCACACCCGCACCCAGAGGACACCCGCCCAGCAGCAAGGGTCCACTCAACCCTGGACTCACTTCATCCTGGCTATCAGTCATCATAGCCACAGATCATTGTTTCAAAATGTTTGATGGAACCTGTCTCCTTTCTGCTCTCTTTTTAAAAAAGATCTATTTACTTATTTGAAAAGCAGAGTGGCAGACACAGAGAGAGGCCCTTCCATCCACTGGTTCACTCCCCAAACAGCCTAAAACGCAGGGGCTGGGCCAGGCCAAAGCCAGGAGCCAGGAACTCCATCTGGGTCTTCTACATGGGTGGCAGGGTCCAAGCACTTGGGTCATCTTGCACTGCTTTCCCAGGTACATTATAAGGGACTGGAAGCAGAGTGGCCGGGACTCAAACCAGCTCTCTGAATGGGCTGCTAGCACCCCAGGTGGCAGCCTAACCCACTGAGCCGCAACGCCGGTCTCCCCTTTGCCTCTAAAGCTGTACCCTTACCTCGTCCTCTGTGAAAACACCGTAGCTGACCCTGCCGTGGCCGCTGCCATCGCAGTGTCCTGCTATTCCCACACCAATTTTTTTTTTTTTTTTTTTGGAGAACTTCTCTCTGTTTTGTTGTGAATGACCCCTTTTCAGTCTCCAGAAAAACGATGAAGAGGATGATGATCCACATATACTGGAGCATAAGCTAAATACTAAATAAGCCAGACACGTTGAAATGCTCACATTGTTAATTAATTTTGCCCTCACAGAGTATTTTACTCTCATTTAAGGTGAGGACACTGAAGCACTGTAAAGTTAAGTAACCTGCCCAACGTCCATGGCTACTACGTGCTGGGTCAGGAGTTAAACGCAGGCAGGGCCAGCAGGGGCCAGCACTGTGGTGTTATGGCACAGAGGATTAGGTTACTGCTTGCCATGCTGGCATCCCACAGCAGAACACTGGTTCTGATCCAGCTAGCTCCCCGCTAATGTGCCTGGGAAGGCAGTGGAAGGTGGACAAAGAGCTTGGGGCCCTGCCAACCACATGGGAGACCCAGATGGAGTTCCAGGCTCCTGGCTACGGCTTGGCCTCACACAGGCTGTCAGGGAGCGAACCAGCAGACAGAAGTTCTCTCTCTCTCTCCTTGTCTGTTATCTCTTTGTCATTTTGCCTTGCAAATAAATAAATCTTACAATAAAATAAGGGGCCAGCATTGCGGCACAGTGGGTTAAGCTGCTGCCAATCACACCTGTATCCTGAGACAACAGGAGCAGGGCTCAGAGAGACAGAACCTGTATGGGCAGGCATTGTGATGCACAGGTAAAGCTGCTGCTGGCAATGTTGGCGTCCCATATCTGAGTGTTTGTTTGTATCCTGGTTGCCCTGTTTTTCATTTTAAAAGATTTTATTTATTTATTTGAAAGGCAGAGATGAGACAGAGAGAAGCAGAGGGAGAGGGAGAGGGAGAGGGAGAGGGAGAGGGAGAGGGAGAGGGAGAGGGAGAGAGAGAGAGAGAGAGAGAGAGATCTTCCATCTGCTGCTTCTCCCCAAATGGCCACTATGGCTGGGGCTGGGTCAGGCCAAAGCGAGGAGCCAGGAGCTTCTTCCAGGTCTCCCACATGGGTACAAGGGCCCACGCACTTGGATTATCTTCCACTGCTTTCCCAGGTATATTAGCAGGGAAGTGGATCAGAAGTGGAGCACCGGGACTTGAGCTGGCACACCCATATGGGATGCTGGTACTGCAAGCAGAGGGTTAACCTTCTCTGCCACAGCGCCAGCCCCTGCTCTGCTTCTGATCCAGTTTTCTGTTAACGCACCCAGGAAGGCAGCAGATGATGGCCCAAGTACTCGGGCCTCTGCCACCCGCGTGGCAGACCCAGATGCAGTTATTGGCTCTTGGCTTTGGCCTGGCCCAGCCCCAGCTGCTGCAGGCAACTGGAGCTTAAACAAGCCAATGGAAGATACCTCCCTCTCTCTCTCCATCACTCTAGCTTTCAAATAAATAAATCTGAAAAAAGAAAAACAGAGTTCAGGGACTGGGTGGCCTGGAGAGGCTCTGCTGGAGCCTCGGGAAGAGAGTGCAGGACAGGGTCCCTGAGCTCCAGGCACTCAGCATGGAGAGTTAGGATGTCCAAGCAAGTAACTGCTCTGTGCATGACAAGGCCACATTGGGCCTTGAATGACACAGGTATTAGGGATGACTGTTGGCAGAGATGATGAAAAGCTTCCTGGATGAGAGAAGGCATCTTCAAAAGACTGGCACTGGGGCCAGCGCCGTGGCACAGTGGGTTAATCCTCCGCCTGTGGCACCAGCATCCCATGTGGGTGCCAGTTCGAGTCCCGGCTGCTCCTCTTCCAATCCAGCTCTCTGCTTGGCCTGGGAAAGCAGCAGAAAATGGTCCAAGTCTGTGGGCCCCTATACCCACATGGGAGACTGGGAAGAAGCTCCTGGCTCCTGGCTCCTGGCTTCGGATCGGCACAGCTCCAGCCGTTGCGGCCATTTGGGGAGTGAACCAGTGGATGGAAGACCTTTCTCTCTGTCTCTCCCTCTCACTATCTGTAACTCTACCTCTCAAATAAATAAATGAAATCTTTAAAAAAAATGCTTAAGAATGAGCAAGTAAGAACTGATTCACTCTAAGAGCAGGTGTCTAGCACAGAAGACGCCACCTGGGATGCCCACATCCCGTATCAGAGTGCCTGGATCAAGCCCCAGCTCCATTTCTGATCTGAGCTTCCTGCAAATGAGCATCCCGGGAGGCAGCAGGTGATGGTTCAGGTATGTGGGTCCCTGCCACCCACAGGGGGGACCTGAACTGGGTTCTAGGCTCCTGGCTTTGGCCTGTCCTAACTTGTTGCAGACATCTGGATTGTGAAACAGCAGATAGAAGATCTTGAGAGATTCTCTAGCTCGCTCACTCTTGCTCTCTCGCTCTCTCTCTGCTTTTCAAATAAAATGAAAATTTTAGAAAGAACCAATTCTTTATGAATTAATGAGTATAAAAATAAAATGGCACCTTGGTTAGATAACAAAACAGCTGAGTATCTGAGTACCTACTGTGTGTCATATGACCTTGTCCATCCTTGTGGCTTTAAATACAATCTGTATACTAAAAACTTCTGAATCTGTATCAGGCCTGGACCTTGTCTTTGAGTCCTGATCTTTTATTTTAAATTAATTTACCCGTTTTTATTTATTTGAAAGGCAAAGAAACAAGAGATTGTCTATGTGTTAGTTCACTCCCCAAATACCCACTAGAGCCAGGGTTGGTCATAGCTGAAGCCTGGAGCCAGGAACTGCACCTGGGTCTCCCAGGTGGATGGCAGGGACCCAGGTACTTGACTCATCATCTGCTCCCTCCTGAAAGTGCACATTAGCAGGAAACTGGACTGGAAGCAGAGGTGGAGCTCAATCCAATCCCAAGCACTCCAATATGGGATGTAGCTCTTCCAAGTAGCAGCTTAACCCACTGCCTCCTGCTCCAGTCTGAACTGCCCAGGACGTCTCTATCTGCCAGAGAACTGGTGACCATCCCCACACCAATATGTCCCTACCGTTCCCAAGTCGTCCCCACCCCACAAGGCTGTGATGCACCCAGCCTCCCCACATGCACTCCTCCAGAGAGCCTTTCAGCCTCGCCTGTCCATATGCCTGGCCCCACCTGCTTCCCTCCCTCTCATTGCCAGCAGCACGGTCTGCGCCCCTAGCATCTCCCGGCCTGCAGTCATGGCCCAGCCTCCTAACCCCTGGCCCCGCTGCTCATCTCCACCCCAGACAGGTCTAACTGTCTCCCTCTCCTGCCTAAGGCCTGCTGAAGTCCTAGCCTTGTACTGGGAATGAATCTGAACTCACTTCCAGGGCTTCTGAGGTCCTGTGTGATGCTTCCCAGCCCACCGCTCCAAATTCTTCCTACTCCTCCAACCTCTCCACCACACTCTGGGCCACAGCCAAGCCTCCCCTTCCCCTGGGCCTCAGTGTGCCACAGTGCATCCTTCAAGAGCTTTCTGTGGCTGGTGCCTTTCTTGTCCTCCAGGCTTCAGCTTACATGTCAACTCCTCAGCACGCTCCACCCCTGCCCCCTCATCCACGGCACCCTGCTTGCTTGCTCCACGGTGCCTATAACCTGCAATTACTCCATTCACCTGCTTGTCCACTTGCTCACTCTCTGTCTCCATCAACTGAAATGTAAGTTACACAAAAGGCCCGTCTGTCTGCTCATCCTGGAGTCCTCAGCACCATGCCCAGGGACCAGCGACAACAAAGGCTTGTGGGATGAATGAACTGCAGGAATTGTGGTTTAATCCCTCACAGGCGTTATCAATAGAACAGAAATCATCCTCAGCACCCCTACTTTATTCATGCAGAGAGACTGCCTCTCTTCTTCGGAGACAATGAGTTTAAAGTCGTGGGCACCTGGAGCAGCAGGTGCATCTTTGCCACCAAGGTCACTGGAGAACAATGGCAACTTAGAGGCAAGGGGAACTAAGAGATGGGCTCTTTGGCAATACCATCTGAGGTTGTGGATCCACCGGTTCCTAAAGCCCCTGCTGCAAAGCAGCCTACAGGCACATGATCTTGACACTCCAAGGGGTGGTGAGAACCGCTCAAGGTCATGCCACCAGGAGGAGGTGGTGCTGGGGCCCAGGGCTTTCTGACTGCAGCGGCAGGACCCTGTTCCGTACAGTTGTCCACCATGCACATCTGCATGGCTCTGGCAAACCAACCTCGGGGAAAGACAGAAGTCACCCCATTAGGGACAGAGCAGCCTCTTGGAAGGGAGCCCACCCCAATCCACAGGTCAATGAGCTCATCCCACAAGCGTCACTCATGGGAGGAGAGGGAGGCGTATGAGCAGCAGGTGTTCCTAAGACCTGTCTCCCAGCCAGGCTCCATCAGACCCCTGTCTAGGCCCAATGGAGAGACAAGCTACAGAGAAAAGACTGCTTGTCCTAAAAGCACGCAGGATGGCGGAATGAGCCACTCTGCTTCAGCAAGGCCTAGGCAAGCAAAGGCTCTCCTGGGACGGGGACCGAGAGCGCCACATGCTGTGTGGTGCCGGGCAGGAGACAGAAGAGCCGTGGGGGAGAATGCTGAGGAGCTGACGTCTGTGTGCACGGGTTACAGGCAACACCACAGGACTTGAGTTATTGCAGATAAAGTGACCTCATTTCCACGGCAGACGTGAAGGGGACACAGTGGGATACCACCCCCTCCCTCCTTCCATCCAGGGACAAGGGACACCGTTCCTTCTTGCTTCCCTCCTTCTCGTCCAGTCTTGCTCTAGTTCTGCTCCGCACCAAGCAGCCCGCCAACCTAGCACCTCAGCTCCAGGGCTGGAAGGGCCCACAAGGCCATCCCTGGCTCTGCCCCTTGTATTTTGGACAAGGAGGGCTGGGGAAAGGGTGGGGAGGGCACCTACCTCTGTGGTGGTGACCGGAGCTCGGCTGATGCCCCTGTTGACCGAGTCCCAAGATCGGGCCGTCAGCATGCAGGCAAACAAGGGGTAGAGGTCCCCAGCGCCCAGGCGCTCGCTGTACATCTTCACCCTCTTCATGTCCGTCCAGATCAGCGACTGCCAGAGGCGGCAGTAATCCAGGCGAAACTCATCCGTGAGCACCTGCGGCACAGGCAGCAACGCTGGGGCCTGAGCCTCCGCTCCCCAGCAAAGGCCTAATTGGGTCCCTGGCTGACGTGGATGAGACATGTCCCTCCCCCCATGCCTGATTCTTCCCCAAAGTCCAGCCACCCCTGAAGGCCCAAGGTCGAGGCTATTACAAGTTGAATAGCCCCAGGTGTATTGAATTTTGGATTGTGGACTATTTGCAAATGTGCCATTTGCACATACATACTGAGATCTCTTAGGAAGGGACCAGAAGTCTAAATATGAAGCTCATCTCTGTCTCACTTACACCTTATACACAGAGATTGAAGGTCACTTTATACAATAATTTACATAATTTAGTGCATGGAGCAAAGTGTCACGGGTGTGGGATTTCCCACAAGTGACATCATCTCAGTGCTGTTTCAGACTTGGGAGCACTTCCGGTTTTGGGCCTTTGGACCAGGGAGCTCAACCCGTATTTGGCAGGCCTTGATCCTGAGCAGCACAAGCAACCACCACAATCTACAGTCTCCTCTTCTCCAGCTATGGGTCACTTTCCCAGGCTCCCTCAAAGGCAGGAGGGGCCGAGCCTGGGCTCCCACTGCGGGAATGTGACAGGCTCCACTCCCACGTCTGGACCACAAGAGCTCCCCCGTGCTTCTCCTGTGAGCCCTCACCCAAGAGAGTACCACCACCTCCAGGGAGCCCTGGAGAGCAGAACCCCTCGGACTCCACCATGCACCCAGGCCTGGCACGTGGCAAGCAGCCGAACTTCTGTCACGCCCGGACCATCCTTCATCTGGGGACTCTGGCGACAACAGCTAGCCTCCCTTCACATGATGCTTCCCACCTCATTGGGCCTTACTGAGGAGGTCCAATCCTGGGATGTTGGGAGCAGGGCCCCAAGGGGAGGAGCAGGAGAGCAATGAGGAAACCTCCCCAGAGGCCACACCGGCAGAGAACCTCCCAACTTCCAGGCAGGCGTTCACAGCTCATCAACCCAGCTGTACACCCTGCGTTCCATAGGACAGAGCTGGACCATCCAGCCCGAGGCAGCTTCCTGCCCTACCATACAGCACATCTTCCCTGGGGTACATGCAAAGGGCAGTCCACCTGCCAGTGTCTGGCCAGGCCCGGGGTCCCCTGGGAGGGTGGAATCACCTATACACGCACATCCCACATGTCACCCACATGTCAAGGAGGAAAGCAAAACTCAGAGCTATGACAGGAGCCTGCACAAAATGACAGCTCCTAGCATGAAGGCAGGGCCCCCTCCTGCGGCCTCAGCTCTCCACCTCCCATTTCTGTAACCATGGGGACTTCAGTGCACTCTGACCTCGAGAAGGACCAGACCTGGGGCCCAGGGTGAAAGGCTCCCTTACCTGGTAGAGTCCATGGTCCAGCAGGACAATCTCCGCCCTCCCCGTGTCCGGACGCTTCCGCACCAGCACATTGCCGGGATGGGGGTCGCAGTGTACAAAGCCGTTGACAAAGATCATCTCACTGTACATCTTGCCCAGGTGGCGTGAGATCTGAAAGAGATCCACCCGCGCCTGCCTCAGGAATTCCTACTCTGGTCCCTCGAACTGGTCACTTCCAACAGGAGTCAGCCAGGTGCACCTGAGCTGGGGCGGGCAGTGCTGGTTTCAGGGGTGTGTGTGTGTGTGTGTGTGTGTTTAAGATTTACTCATTTATTTGAAAGGGGGGGGGGGGGAGAGAGAGAGAGAGAGAGAGAGAGAGAGAGAGAGAGAGAAGGAGAGAGAAAGAGAATTTTCCATTGCTGGATAACTCCCTAAATGGCTGCCACAGCAAGGGCTGGGCCAGGCCAAAGCCAGGAGCCAGGAGCTTCTTCTGGGTCTCTCATGCAGGTGCAGGGACCCAAGGACTTGGGCCACCTTCTGATGCTCTCCCAGGCTAATTAGCAGCAAGCTGGATGGAAAGTGGAGCAGCCGGGACTCTAAACAGCGCCCACATGGGATGCCAGCACTGCAGACAGTGGCTTAACCTGCTGCGCCACGGTGCCAGTCCCAAGATGTGTTCTTGAACTCAAGGTGGAAACTGCTCTCAACCCATCCTTTCCAACCTCAGCCATGCGTTAGAGCCACAGCAGCCAAGAAATGCTGCAGGTGGTACCAGCTATCGAAATATTCATTTGTTTATTTAAAAGGCAGTTAAAGGGGGTGGGGAATGAATCTTCATCTATTGGATCCCTCCCCAGATGGCCACAACGGCCAGGACTGGGCCAAACCAAAGCCAGGAGCCATCCATTCAAGTCTCCTATGTGGGTGGCAGGGACCCAAGCACTGAGCCATCCTCTGCTGCTCTCCCAGGTGCATCAGCAGGGAGCTGGATTGGAAGCAGAGCGGCTGGGACTCTGACAAGGGACACCAGCACCCCAGCAGCTTAACCTGCTGCCCGCAGCCCAACGTCAGCCCCCATGAAGTCTTTTTTTTAAAGCATGATAAAGTAGGAGAACGATGTGGCTGAAACTCCATCTCCACTCCACACCACCCCTCCATCTGCCCCCGTCTCTCTCATCCCTGCTGTCTTTTCGGTCCCTGCTCGTTTCCGCTGGAGAGCTGAGAATGGACTGAAAGCTGGGTTGGGGGAGCCGCTCCACCCATGCTGCCTCCTGGGAGCAGGAACAGGTGACCCCACCACGGTCTGCTGGGGCTGCCCCACCAGCTCCAGGCCCAGCCGGACCCAGAGTCCAGGCCTCGCTCCCCTCTCCCTCCTCCCCTCCTGCCAGGGCCCCACGCTAATCTGATTTATGATGTCTGCACAGAAGAAATGACACTGGAGAGGCCATTTAAATCATCCTGTCACTGCTGCTCGCCCCGCCGAGGCAGTCTTCTTATCTCCGCTCCCTTTTTTATTAAAGCTAAAAGCCTCTTCCCAGCCAGGGAACAGCTGCTGAATGGGACCAGCCTGGGGCCCGGGGATGGGGTGTCAGTGGACAAAGCCGCACTCCACCCAGAAGGCTGAAGCCCCAGACGCCTGCTGCCCTTGGTGTTCCTCCCAGCCTCGGCTGGACCCCATGGTCATTAACGCACGTATTCCAGCCAGAGGAGAGGGGCTGGGACCTGCAGGGTAGGGAACACAGGATTTGGGTCTTAGGATAAAGACTCAGTGGGGAAGCCCTGCATGACCCAGCCCTGCCGCCCTCCTCGGTGTCATCTCGCACCATGCTCACACTCCAGCCATATTCACTCTTTCTCTTCTCCGACGACGCCTATGCTTTCTCACCTCAGGGCCTTTGCACATGCTATTCTACCAAGAGCATTCCTCCTGCCCTCCCTTCACCTGGCTCAGATCCTCTCTTCCTTCCTGTCCCAGGTCAGCATCCCCTCCCTACAGGAGCCTTCCCCACCCTCCCAGGCTGGGTGAGGCTCTGCTACCAGTCCTTCCCAGAAGACGCTGTGCCTCTCTCCTGCGGCACTAGCAACTATGTGTGTGAGTATCTGATGAAAGACCACCTAGCCCACAGTCACAAACGCCCAAGACAGCAGGGACTGGCTCTGCTTGGCTAAACTTTTACTGACGTGTACTTTACGTACCACAGACTGACTATTATGCACTCACTTGCTTGTAACAGTGCCAAGTATGTGAACAGAAGACTGCCTTCACGAGAGAGGACCCTCATTTCTCTGTTCTTCTGAGAAGCCATGATTCTTGCCTCTGATTCTTATCCCAACGCCATGAAGCTCCTCTGACTCTCAGTCAGTTATAACTGGCCCCAAAGTAAATCAGCAAGAATAATCCTACTTTAGGAATAATAGTGGGGGGCAGTGCTGTGACACAGTGGATTAAAGCCTCGGCCCACAGCGCCGGCATCCCATATAGGTGCTGGTTCGAGTCCCAGCTGCTCCACTTCCAATCCTGCTCCCTGTTGAGGTATCTGGGAAAGCAGCGGAAGATGGCCCAAGTATCTGGGAAAGCAACCCTAACACTAGGTACAGTTATGACCACATTGTACAGATGAGGAACCAAGACTCACTGAGGTTCAGGCTTCCTGTGACTAGAAAGAGAGAGGGGTGGGTATTCGACCTGGTAGTTAAAATGCCACCTGGGACACCATAGCCCTTAGTGGAGTGCCTGGATTGGAGTCCCAGCTCTGTCTCTGATTCCGGCTCCACCCTAGGGGGAAGCAGGTAAAGGATCAAGTATTTGGATCCCTGCCACCCACAGGAGAGACCTGGATTGAGTTCCTAGCTGCTGGCCTCAGCCTGGCCCAGCTCCAGCTATCGCAGACATTTGGCGAGTGAACCAGTAGATGGAAGACATGTCTCCGTCTCTTTCCCTTTAAATAAATTAAAATATTTTCCAGAAAAGAGAGACAGCCATAAAGCCCAGATCTAAAGCAGGTTAAGCATTGCTCTCATGCTTGCCTCTGTGCTTCTCAGCTGAGCTGGGCGACCCTCAGACAAGTCACTCAAGGCCTGCTGGGGAGGTGAGTAAGGCTAGCCCAGTGCTGGTGGCCTTGGGGCTACAGATTCCTCCTAACGCTCCCAGGAGGACGGCCCACTGGGTTTCACCATATGCTTTTTTCATTTTTAAGATTTTTTAATTTATTATTTATTTGAGAGGTAGAGTTACAGAATGAGGAAGAGGACAGAGAAAAGTCTCCCATCTGCTAGTTCACTCCCCAAATGGCCGCAATGGCAGGAACTAGGCTGATCAAAGCCAGGAGCCAGGAGCTTCTTCCGAGTCTCCCACACAGGTGTAGGGGCCCAAGGACTTGGGCCATCCTCTACTGCTTTTCTCAGGCAATAGCAGAGAGCTGGATCAGAAGTGGAGCAGCCAGGACTCGAACTGGTGCACATACAGAATGCTGGCACTGCAGGCAGTGGCTTTACCTGCTATGCCACAGCGCCAGTCCCACACCACATGCTTCTGAGAGATGAAGACACTTCAGACGTGACACTTCACTACCATATCAGCGCTCCAACTGCTGTCAGTGTCCTGGGTCTGTCCACTTTAGCAGCAGGACTTAACCAGGCTCTGATGCCCAGCATCCCATGGCCTCCTTTTTTCTGTTCCGTGGGAGAGGAGAGCCCCAGCCAGAGCTGGCCCTAGGCAAGCCAGCAGGTCCCCACCCTTGGGCTACCAAGAAATCTCTTTGTTAGCTTTTTTGGAGTTCCATGGAGACATGCTTTGAAAAGCTGTGTCTGCCAAAGCAATTGCATTTATTAAGTAATCATTCATTTTTATTTGTCAAGGAACGCATATGAGGTCCAATCAGGGCTCCTGATCAGCCCAAGATAAGCTGGGCAGCCAGACTGAGCTGACGGAATTCCAGCCAAAAAGCAGAGACATGACATTTCATTTAGTCTGGGCAGACCTGTCACGGGAGATGTATGGTCTCCCTGGAGCTTTCTGAAATATTGCTAATCGCTCTGGGCCCCTTATTACTGCATTGAAAGATGGCCCCTGGGGGCGTGGGGAATCATGGTGGGGAGAAGGGGCTGGTGGAGGCACAGGGGTGGTGCTGCCAATCGGGCAGAGCCACCAGGCAGCCTCCCCCTCACCACCCCTGCCCAGCTGCCCCCACCCGGTGTCCTCCCCCCTCACTGTAAGCAGGTGGCGGCAGGGGGACAGGCCTGGAAGGAAGAGCCAGGCAGGGAAGGCTCCACTCTAGAGCCACACTGGTTCTGCCGCTTGGCTGTGCGTGGCCTGCAGGACAGGCCCCTCCCTCCTCAGTCTGCAACCAGGGTCTCTTGCAGTTAAGTGGGACTCACCCCACCTGCTCCCCCTCCCCACAGAATAAACTCAGACTTCAAGATCAAACCCTATCACGTAGGACACTATCACTGTGCGAGTGTCATTTTCAATAAACTAAAGACATCATACAAGGGGCCAGCGTCCAAGTGCACGGGGTTAAGCGCCCCTTGCAATGTCGGCATCCCATATCTGAGCACCACTCTGAGTCCCGGCTGCTCCACTTCTGATCCAGCTCCCTGCTATCATTAGGCAGGAAGTTAGAAATCAGCCTATACCTAAGAAGGGCCTAAGGAAACTGACATCTACAGCAGTGCAGCATCTGCAACCAGCATTTGGACTTCAAAGTCCTGCCCAGGCCCGGATAACCTCCCAGGTGGTCCCAGCCCCCCCTCCCCCAGGAAAGCTCCCAGGAGAACTCTTCTCTCCTCAGGACCAAATGGGTACCTGACCTGATAACATGGGGCAATAAAACCTTCACAGATGCCCTGAGGGAGGCCCCTCTACTCTGCCCTGGGCCAGCAAATCTAATTTTCACCCAACAAACCCTTGTGCCAGGGCTCCCTATCCTTTGTCCTGGAGGAGAGGGGGAGGTAGGTAAACAAGGACTGCACACTGCTTTCTGCTGAGCCTCGGGTGTATTCTCTCCATTCAACCATGTAACCTCACTCTCCCCCAGTCGGAGCAACTGGGCTCTCTCTTCCTATCCCTTCCATTCTGACGGATGCCCTGTCCCCAGTAAAACCTTATTACTTCGCTCTCTGTCTCATACCTGAATTCTTTCTTGTGTGAAGACAAGAACCCTGTGGCTTCC